TTATTAACATCAAATTGCAACGAGGTAAATGCGATTTGACGAATATTGTTAATTTGAAAAATATTTGTTTTTGTTTTCCTCTATAAATTTCTCGACTAATTGGATTCAAATTTGGATTTTTCTAGAAAAAGTAGTAGTTGTTAATTTCATTATGAACTACTTTTTCCAGAATATTTTATTTATCCAGAATATCTTTATTTATGTAATTATCTATTTTTTCATTTTTTTTAAATACTCATATTTTAACACTTATGCAATTTAAAAAAAATGTAGTCGAGTTATCAATGAGAATGGCTGTAAATGTAATAATCGTAAAAATTGTACGTTTCTGCGAGTGTAGATGTATGTTATATGCTTTTTTGAATAAATTAGTATAAAGCGTGTTTCACATGTTTTATATGGACATGTAGTGGATTATACATAGTGTAAATGAGGGAAGAGAGAGCTATGTAACATGCTGTACAAAAGGAAGTGGAAAGGGAAAGAGATGAAGGTAATTGCGACAAATTATCGATATTTGTGCGGTAAAATTACAAACGGATTAAAGTAAAATATTGCTCATTGATAATCATTTTGGATTGATCGTTTAATTTGACCGTTTCTTGATTGATATATCAGCTTGGTTATCAAAACTTACATCTCTAAATAAGTTATATATTTAAAATGATCTCAAAATTTTTTTTATGGAATATTTTTTGTATTAATATTTTTATATTCAAATTGCATACATGCGTTTATATGCAACTTTATATAAAATTAGTGAAGAAATTTTTGAATAAACATTTGATAATGGTAGATGATAATTTAATAAAATAATTCATGTACAAGTTATTAAAACATAAAAATTTATGAAATACTCATCAAATTAAATTGAAATATATATCGAATGTAATTGATGGATTAATATGTACTTACAGAATTAATTTATCCAATACGTTCGCTTTTATGATTCATCGAATTGTGCAATATTTCGGTTTTACGTAACATATAGCTAGCTTGCCAATCGTTCGGCCGATAGTTCACACGACATTTTTTCTCAACTTTCATGTCGCGCACATTTCCTGCAACCTCGTTATCGACAGGATATCATGTTCCCGAGATATGCGATTTATGAAAAAGTGACGGTGTTAAATTTAGGGGGAAGATTGCTGAAGCTATCAATCGAAGCTGTTGAACAGCGATCTAAGAAATTGAAAAACTACATCTTGAGGTTAAAATATATATTTTTGTAATATGACTGTAATTATTTATAGAAAATATATCACAAATTGAATACTACTATTAGTAAAAATTTAAAATAAATAAATAAATATCTTATAGTATATAAATAAATATCTTATAGAAAGTACCCGCAACATGTTTTCCGTGCTTTTACCTCGTGATAAATAAAGTTTATAAAAACCATTCCTTTAGCTCTCCTTAGCAAAAGTCTTAGCTTTTCCATATTAACCTTTTGGATAAAATAGAAA